GTATTAAAAGTATTTTTAAAAAGTCAACTCAAATACATCATTAGGATCATATTTTTTCTATTAAATTTAGAGTGTCAATATTAGCTGTCAGATTAACTTTAAAATAAAATTAAAAAAGATCACAACCGTAAATAATAAAAGTCATTTTATTTATTTTTTGAGATTTAAATTATATTGTACTGAAAAATCGCATGCATCCTTTGAGTCCCCGCATCAAAAGTGATAATACCATGTTCAATTAATCATTCTCTATTAATCACAGCCCGTACTCGAACAACCAAACCATGTGGTCCAGATCAAGAATGGCCAACAAACAACACCATTCCTCTTCTGGCGTAATCAAAGCTTGGCCAACACAGCTTGGTTATAAAATCCACTTGAGCTGAGGGAAGTGTCTCCCAGACCGTCAAACACGGTCCAGTCATTTCAATGGACTAGATTAAATATATATATTAAGTATATGTGTATCTAAATTAAATATCATCTTAAATTTATGAAACTTAATTTTTCGTTGATCATATTCTATTATAATATTGTGAAAATTTTGTATGTTCCCAAAATTCCCTAACTTTTCTATTTTTTTAGAATTTTCTCATTGAAATTGATTTTTAAGTAATGTTTGATAAATTATTTTTTTTTAAATTCTACTTATAATTCCTTGAATAAAATAAAAATAATTGTCAATATATTAATCACATTGAAGCTTTACTGTAATTACGAATTAGTTAGGTCAATTGAAATAAGATTTAATATACTATTCTATAATATATATTATCAAGCATAATAGAGAAACTGATATTTATACATAGAGAATATATAATTAAAAGAGATATTATAGATAATTTGAAAATTTAAATATGTAAAAATATGATAATAATTTAGATATTTGATTTTGAAAGGATATAGCGGTTTTTGTAATCCTTTATAAGGGTAAAATAGAGATTCAATTTTTTTTTATCTTAAGGTACTTTTATTAGTAACTAACAATGCATATATGTGCGTTGCATATGAATAATTTACATATATAATATATTAATAAAAAATATTAGGTATATCTGCACCTAAATTAAATATTATCTTAAGTTTATCAAATTTATTTTTTGTCACTAAAATTATATTATAAAATTATAAAGACTTTGTATGTTTTCAACGATTTATTGGTCTAACTATAAAAAAAATTGATTAAAAATAATAATTAAAATTCTATGTTTTAGAATTTTGGGATTGAGAGTGATTTTTTTATGATGTTTAAAAAATTAAATTTTTTAAAATTCATCTGATTAAGATTCTACATATAATTCATTGATTAAATTGAAAATAATTATCAATAACCTAATCATATTGAAAACTTACTATAATTAAGAATTTGTTAGATGAATTAGAATAAAATATACTACTAACTATACTGACGCATATTTTTAGGGTAATATAGTCATTATATATATATATATATATATATATATATATATATATATATAT